TTATTTATGAGTCTTCTATTTCTAGTAATGACTGCCTTTGCACAGCTTGCAATAATGGAAAGGGTAGGATTTTGCAATGTGCTTGTGCATACGTGTCAAATACAGAGAAATAAAAGAATGAACTTCAACTTCTTTTGAAGAAAATTAATCCTATATTGATCAGCTTAATAAGGGGGTTCCAGTCTGTTTCATTCACCAAACTGAACCCTAGCTCAACATACGGCATTGTCCTAAAAAACAAATCTGCAATTAAATGATCTAATCCACTGCTATTTCTTTATCCTTATAAATTCCATCATTTCTCAAGGTGAAAAATCAGAAGTTTATTGACACAGAAAAGATTTGGAAGGGTTCCTGGAAGTTGCAGGTGGAAAACACAGGAGCTAAACCAATCAAGGGAACAGGACCTGCCCTGCTCAGTTTTAATGACTTCGTATCTGGCTGAAGTTAAACATATTTCTAGGTATTTTTCCACCATTTTTCATGGTTTCTTACCTGCTTAAAATATGAAAGAGAGCAAAGCATTTAAAGCTGCCTGATATGTAAGTTCAGACTATTAATACTTATTCAGTTGCATTTAATCACCAGGGATCTCAGGCAATAGCCACACCAAGCTTCCTGTTCTTAAACTACTGTCTGTTTATTCACCAGTGACTAAAACCAACTCTCTTACCTGTGGTCCAAGAATAAAAACTTCCATTCCAAACTATGCCTCGATGTAAATTCTTCACATGGCTCCTCGACATTGCAGAGCTCCTGCAAAACAGTTTGCACATTCAGACGTTTAATTCTATGAAATGCCAAAAGGTCTCTAACAAGACCAAGGTCGGATCTTTTTGGTATAACAAACCCTTGCAAAATACAGCGCTTTTAAAGCACTTGACTTATTTTTCTTGAAGGAATGTATAAGTCTGGTTTTATAGATGCACAGACTGATGAAAAGTGGCTGAATAATTTATCCTGGGCTGAATTTCAAAGCTAGGATAAATAGTCCAAGGGCCTCACCCTGCAGTCCGTAGGCAAAATTCCCCAGCTTTTTGCAAATGTTGGTATCTGAGGATCGGTGACAGCACCAAGTCCAGCCTCAAACCAAGCTGGATGATGCTCTCTTGAGCAAGAAGCACCTATGATTGTTATCCCTGTCACCACTGCATTGTGCCACAGGACACTTACAGACCAGCAGAAAGAGACCATGAAACACAGTGTTCGCGTTGCTTCAAGATGCAGGTGGCCTTCTTACACAAAGGAGTGGTGGGACGTATTTCTTTAAAGGCTGATCACCTTGCATTGGTGCTTCCTGGGCAGACTGCTCTGTCACACCCCATCGCACAGCCACCTTTCTCAAAAGCAACCCCTGCTCTGTATCTCGTCATTCCAGAACACACACTCATGCCATCTCCCACTCTCAAACGCATAAATCTCTCGTTTGCCAACCCTCTGCACGAACAACCCGCGGTGCTGAGTGTACTCTGTGAGGGGGTGCCGCAGCATGGTGCCCCCTGCCCAGTGCAGGCCTGGGGGTACCAGCAGCAGCTTGGCCAACCCCACACAGAAGGGGAAGACGCAGTGGCAGAGCTCTCACCTTTAAGAACTGCGGTGTGACAAGACGAACAGTTGCTACGAGGCAAATCTGCTCCTCCGTGGCTGTCCTGAAAGCTCGTGCAATAGCTGACTCAAAACCATTACAGGAGGGTGTAGGCACTAGACGCAACCAGACAATTTATTTAAGACAACGACGAAGGAGAGCTCTCTTTTCATGTTAAGACAGGTACAATGACTGATGAAACCCAACCAACAAACTCCTCCTACCACAAGGCAATGCCACACTGATACACGCTGATGTTATTTAAAGCCTGATCCTTTAGGCTCTGAGTTGCACAGTTATAACCACCTACCCCTGGCTTGCAGGGAAGCTTCATAAGACAGCTCTGAGCAGCTCAGTGAGCAGCTAAAGTCTTCTTGTCAGTCCTTCTCCAGCTTGACATTTGCAAGATTCAAGATTTTACAGGTTTCTCAAACTATTTCATCTTTTAAAAGTGTCACTTGAGTGCCACAAGTGAAACAGAAGAGCGTATCTTACTGATTACGTGAATAAGCGAGCTGCTTTACAATTGGCAGTGGGTCAAACGGAGCTAGGATCAGTCTGGCATCACTTCTTTAAGCACAGCATGCAGATGAGTGTGACCAACAGCCTCCCCACCACTTTAATATAAGGATATCTCCAACATATCCACAGCTCATTCCATCTCTGCTGATTATGGGGCATTTTCACCTGAAACAAGGCCTTTAGGAGGCTTCAGATCAACAGACAATTGAGAGGAGAGAGGTAGAGAGGTAAAGGTAGGCTGGAGCAGTAACTTACCATGAGTAAAATATTTAAAATCCACTACAAATTTCACATATTCATACAACAGGGGTTCATTTGGATCTAAGCTGCCTCTGGCTAAATGGCAGCAAAATTCTATTTGTTTTTCCGCTGAAATGAAAGAGAGGGAGACACACACGTTACTAAAAGTCTGCACTTTGGCACACTCCATATATAGAATCTATCTAGGTGTTTATACCAAACCTGCCACTGAACACACCCTGCTGGGATGCTCTTGATACCCAGAAGTAAATATATAACTATTGGGAGCAATGATCAGCTGGTTCTGCTTAAGGAAATGAATTCTCACCCTTTCGCCCATGGTTTTACAGCCACCCCACTACGCTGGGCGTGAAGCCCTGGCAATATTGGTCAGCAGTATTTCACCTTGACTTTGTGCATGCAAAGCTGTTAAGTGACACTGCAGTAGTCCGCTCTGGTGCTGCTCAGGAGGACCCAGATCCAAAGGGCACTGAAGTCACCCTAAGCCTTTCCATTAATGGTGGAGGGCACTGTGCCAAGCTCTTTGCTCTCTGCCCGAGGCCTGAACTTCATGGATTTAGGCCATGCGGTCTTGACACAGAGGGAAAACAACCCCAGGGCAGAGCACCAGCACTGCCCAGTTCCCACTGGGCAATGAGAAGTTCCCATTTATAGGGCAGCAGAGAGGCAATGCTGGCACTGCCTGGCCCCGGTGAACCCACCAGGATAGGGGGCTTCCAACACAGGCTTGGTGAAATGTGGATGTTGGGAAGATGCTGCTGCCCACTCTGATGCTGGGAATGTTTTCTGGGAGAAAGGGACATTTCGGGGATGGGACAACAGCCAGCAGTAGAGATCCTGATGGACTGTTCAGATAGGCAGGCTGCTGCTTAAATTACATGCAGCGTTTCTCAGATGTCCTGAGATGTGCAAGCTTCCCAAGAAACAAAGCCTCTGCCAAAACCCTTGGAGATTTCTTCTACCCTTTTCCTTCCCTCAAGCCCCTCACTCCTTTCACAGGCTCAGTCCAGCATCCTGCCCTGGGAAAAATATCTCATTTTTCAGGCAACTTCACTGCCCTATGATGCAAAGCAGGCAGCAAAGCAAGGACCGTCCAAATCAAAGACCAAGTACTGGAAGCACATAGGAACATTACAGGATGTGCTGCATTAAAACTCAGAAATATTAACCGTGGCAAAACAGAAGTGGCAGGCAGGAGAGTTAAATAGCTGCAGAGCCCTGTGCAGGCTCCCCAGGGAGCTGTTTGCCTCTGGCAAATTTCCCTGATGAACAGACAAGAGCAGAGCTTACCGTTTAGAAAATCAGCTGCAACGGGATCTGTCATGAGCACGTGTGGAGAAAGGAGCTTATACACCTCGCTCTGCTCCCGCTCAGGCAGAAAGTTCAATATATTTTGGTCCACCAAATCTGACTGATACAAAAGGATGCTTTGTCATGTTCAGCAGTGCAGCCTGACACAACCACAAGACTTCTCATCCGGCAGTAGAGCACAGATGCTGCTGGTCGGGTGTGGATGCTTAAGACAAGGAAGCCCAGCCAATCTGCAGGTGGATCCAGGGCAGAATACAACCCCTAGGTTATTTTAACCCCGGGGTTGCTATCCTCTTGCAAAAGGTTGAATGAGTCCCAAAGGTTGCCTTCAGCCAGATGCAAGCTGGAGAGGAAACCCTGGTACTACAGCAATACGACACGATGAGAAATGTCATATCAAAACGAAAATTTGAAACACTTCCCTTTAGAAGCATGAGAAAGATGTGGGAGAGCTCCTCCTCACATCCTCCATTTGTCTTCTAGGCTGAACATCTGGCAAAATCAGCTTGAACTGCAAGAGCTTCAGTGCTGATAAACCCCCACATCCTGACTAAAAGGGTTCCACCAAAATGTCAGCACGTGTTTGTTTCTTCACGTATCAGGACATCCAGCGAAGTTCACTGTGTGCTCAGATCTGCCATTACACAGCATCACTGGTGTCTCATGCTTGGCACCAGATAAAAATAAAAAATGCTTTTGAGGAGCCAGCTCAACAGCTGATTTCTAGAAATTCTCCCAGAAATCTCTGAGGCCACACACTTGTTACTGAAGACCATGGGCTCAAAGTAGAAAAACCCAATGTCATCACAAGAGCATAGATTCAGTCCTGAAATAATCTTTAAATTATCTGAGAAGAGCTTCAGCACGCACAGATTTAACATGCATGAGATTTTCCACATACCTGGTGGGATAAACACCACCCAGACCCTCCTTTAGACGTGCAGCCAAGTACTGAGCTACGAGTGCAGTGATTTTCCATAGGTTTTTTATTATCAAACTCCCAGACCCCGAGAGAGAATCTGTTATTCACAGGAGCTTGAGAAACTCCCTAAGAGTTTGCAGGTTTACCCCTCACCCACAGTCAGCTGCCTCTTTGGTTGGACAAACCCAAGCCTCAGCCCTGCATTAAGGCAGGGGAATTATTCTTCAAGATATTGTGTTGTCAGAACTTACCGGTAAGTGTCCAAGCAGAGACGAGACACTATCAGATACATAAATAATGATCCCATCAGTGGTAAGAGCAATGAGAAAGCCATCTAGTGCCTAAGGAAAAAAAGACAGGCAAAAAGAAAAAAAAATAACAGCGCAAGGGAATAACTTTACGTAGAATAGACTGATTTATTCTTTGCTGGTGCTTTTAACAGCCTAAACCTCACATAAACCAGTTATGGAAATGACAGTGCAATGCGTAAAGATAAAAACTGCACGTGCTTTCTAATTCAGCATTCTTCCTACATTCTTACTTGCTCATTAATATTGAATTGACTTGTATTTTTCACCCAGTGAGTGTTTATTTAACATGAAGCAAGACAGTGGTAGTTAAAATTTCTACACCCACACAATCCTGGTGACTTCAGCCGCTTCATCATGTGTTCTGAATTACACAACGGTTAACCAGTTTGGTGTGTAAGGAGATGCTAGGTATCATCATGGCAAACCCAGCATTGTAGATGGATGGATGGACGGATGGACGCACAGATAAGCAGAGACAGCAAAATTATACAATGCTGCATTTTTAGCCATTTATGGACAATATTTAAAGCCTTATTTTCGCTTAAAGCACTCATCTGTCAGGCTAGCGACACAAAAATTTAAAGCTTGTTTTGTTTCCCTTTCTTTATTCACAATGGTTTCTATTCCAGAGTCGAAGTTCCCTGTCCTTTTTAAATCACTGCACGTGGCTCCCCTTTGGCTGTTCTCCCAGTCCTTCACAACACCTTCTTCTACCACTGACCCAGTGTCTGCCCTTATTCTTCTCTAGCATTTACCAAGCTCTGGGAGGTTTAATCTCTGGTCAGCAGCGTGCACAAAGCCAACTCTTCCAAAGACACCATGAGTCTGCTCTGCAGCTTAGCTACAGAGAGCTAAAGATGCGGCACTCACCACCTTCCCCCACAGCCGGTTACCCCCACCTCACTGTCATACTCTGCCTTTGCTTGAAATAATCTCTCTCCAGAAAAAAAACCATTGATGTTTAAGTAAACTGGTCTACAGTCTCAGGTAGTCCGGCAAGCCAACAGTTACTAAAGGGTTCTCTCCCCCACCACTTCTAGCGGGGGGGATTTGTTTTGATTTAGCTGGAACAATCTGGCTTGTTTGGTGAGAGAAATTCCCAGAAAGAATGAACAGACTTTTCCAGGGAGGTGAGTCATGATGTCCTGATGAAAAGGAATAACTAAGGCACTGCAGCACCTCCCAGCTCAGCCCAGCATACACCCTTATTTTAGTGGGGCAGAGAGCAACAGCTGCCCACGCCGGGTAGGAGATGTCCTCACCAGAGGAGCACGCAGCACAAACCCAGAGCCGCATCCTTAAGAAAGGAAAAAGGGGTGTCTCTAGATCAGCCTAGCGTTTTGGAGGTGAGAGTATCAGAGCTGCTCTCCTGGATGCACTTGAAGGCAATCCAAGCAGAAGACACAGCGTTCACATCAGAAGTGCAGCACCGCACCGCCAGCAGCAGCAAAGGCAGCGGAGTAAACGCTGCCTGGCTGACGGGATGTGGGAGGAAGAGAGCTGCGCTGCTTTTTTCAGGTCCTTTCAAGTTTTTGCTAAAACTGCCAGCTCAAGCGGCAATCCTGAGAAGGGCGATTCTCTTCTCCCTCTCTCCCCAAGCTGAACTGGTCTTCACTCCTAAACGAAAAGCTGTTTTTCTTTAAGGGGAAGCAATCACGCTTTTAATTCTGTGTTTGCGAAGCATTTAGCATAACATTGATCACCGTATTATACGTGCTAACAGAACAGAAATCATTAACATTGGGACCTACAGGTGAAAAGGAACTATATATCTCTGAACTACTCCACTGAACTGATTACTTCTCACTAATCTATGCAGCTTTAATTTCTTCTTACCTCTAACATCAACTGGGTGAACTCCTCGTTGCTAAGAAATGAAGGCTTCCAGTCTTGTCTAATCTCAGAGGCTTCTGTCTGTGCTGTGATTTCTTAAAGAGAAAACATCAAAAAAGCAACATGACTCATCCTAGTTGGATTTCTTTTTTCATTTTCAAGTAACACTAGATTTCTTTTAAGAGGCTTTCAGAGGAATCATCCTCAGATCATTCTCCACACAAAGCCTTCTTGTGTAACAGTCATTTTCCACGCCATCGTGATACAAATGCATTAGAAACCAGAAGGAAGAGGAGACATTTTGGGTGGTCTGAAGAAATCCTTCAAAAATTAAGGTCGATGGGCTCATTTCAGAGTAGCTGAGCATCACCACGAGCAGAGGGTGTCTGCGTCTCTGGAGTCATTTCAGGAAGGCTCAGAGCAGTGCCCAGGCAGGACACTGCACCCAGCCACCTCCTACCTCCAGCGGCAGCAGGCCAGTGCCCTCCAGTACCTTTCTGTTTCTGTAGGAAGTCGATGGTCCTCTGCAGTATGGTAGACTTGTCCATCTTGAGAGCGTGGCCGTGGCCCTGCAGCATCGTGCAAAGCTCTTTAATGAGGACATTGAACTGGTCTCTCCTCTTCTTTTCAGATTTGTTGCGTGATGCCCTGGGTGACAGAAACATAAACGCTGCTTTAGCAATTGAGGACCTACAGCTTGTCGTCCCAGGGAAAGGAAACTGGCCCTGCCTCAGCAAAACACTTTAAATACCAGAATCTAAACTCTGCTGGGACTGCTCATTTGTTTAAAATGAGGCTCGGGCGTGAGCGCCTTGCTGGTGCTTAGAGCCTTGCAGCAGGGCTGAGCTCACTGTCAGCAAGGAACTCCTGGAGCTAACAGACAGGATTTACATTCATTTGAGCAAGACCATATCCTTATGTGCATTTCACCAGCAGATCCCATCATTTCAAAAGTGGTGGTAAGGAGGTGAAGGTGCTATGGGAGAAATTTCTCCAGTAAGAGAAGTCCTGGCATCTACATGCTTACATTTTGACCACCTCATTTTTACGAGCTTCTGTTTCACAGTTAGTACACACACATAAAAAGGTCAAAATGTGAAAGATTCCTTATTCCCTGACTTGGACTTGCAGAGACAACTTAACTGCAGAATGAAGTCAAGCACATGCACTTGTATCTGGTTTTGAAAACAGGCTGTCACGATATATGAAACCAGGAATGCTAAAGAGTCTGGCTGCAGAAACCACAGACTAGTTTCCAGCTTTCATTAAAACAATTTAAGAATGTTTTATTAGGGTTTTCCCTTCCATTAAAAACAATAAAGGAGAAAGCAAATTAATTCAGTTTCTTCCAAAATGTTCTTACCGATGCTCTTATCTGAGATAACCCTGTTTTCATACAACCTCTTCCAGTAGTAATTAATTTTCTTTACAAGCGTATTCGTGATGATACATGCTTCCTGTGATCTAGACCGAGCGTGGTATGCAGAAAGCGTTTTCATTCATATTCAGGCTGGCATTTGGAGTTTCGCACATCCAGCATTTACGTTCAGAGCCATCATGGTTTTGGCACTGGCGTGCGATGACTCATTAGAACTGAGCTCCTCTGAAGAGAGACTAACTCAGACCTGTGCTAAAGCACGGCTGCTCTCTAAATTTCACAGGGAACTCTACCCAAGGTGGGCAGCACTGCCTGATGCCAGGAAAATCACAGGTCAGGAGTCCCGCTTCAAGATAATAAATAGCCGTAGGATAACATGAGATTCTGAGGGCACAACGTAATTTAAAGACCACTCAGCTGATTAACCCATCATAGACATGGTCAAAGTACAAGAAGCTTAAAAAAGATGACTTAATTATGCTGTTTGTGGTCATAGACGTGGTCAAAGTACGAGAAGCTTAAAAAAAGATGACTTAATTATGCTGTTTGTGGTCTGCTACGCACCTGTTAACTGCATGGTGGGGTTTTGCCTCTGACTTCTGTGGTCCCCAGTACTTTTTCAAGCATCGGACAACACACCATCTACAATTCTGCCCCGAGAGAGCTTCCACTCCCAGTGCTATGTGCATCCTTTCATACCTCTTTGCCCTGTCCTTCTCATCTTCATCCATCAGTTCGTTTACACAACACAGGGCTCTGGAAGGAAAACAAAAAGCACTTACTGAGATGTATTCCCTATCTTGTTGAAGATGTCAGAATATGGATCTTACTGGTTTGAAGTTTGTGGCATCCTGGATGTTTTAATCTTCCCTTTCCTCCCAAACTCCACTCTTGTTATGTAGTTTCTTGCTTGTTCTGGCAGCTACTGAGGCTTGAGAAGTGAAACCACTGCTATGCACCCAAAAATACAGCCACAATAAGTGTGACTTTAGAGAGTAAGAGCTAAGAGCCAACAGCCCCTCACCCTGCCTTTGCACTCCCCGGTGCCACAGGATGGGGAACCCATGGACTCCACACAGAAATCAGCATCTCCTCTGCAAACCTGCATGGGAATCAGCACCTACCCTGCAAACGTGAGAGCCGATTTGACTCTGATGTCTGTATCAGGCAGAACTGTGTCTGGTTCGGCTTTGGGAAATCAAACAGGCTGCTGGTTGATTTCAAGCATTGCAATGCTTGAAAAGCATCTGAAATTTCCTTCCCAGTGGAAGAGCATAGGAGGAAGAAGAAAACTGTGCTAATCCCCCAAGGGATTAGTATTAGGCAACAGCAGGGTACTGCCAGGACATCTAAGAGATGATATGAGAGACAGCTTCATCCAAACCACCCTGCAGCCAATGACTGCTGCTTGCACTGGTGGATTCCACCACACCATCTGAGCTGCATCCAGCTGCTGGGATCCATACCCAAGACTTGAAGTTCAGACTTCCTCACCCAGCACTAACCAACAAAAAGAAGGGAATGTGACCTGTGCTGTGTGTCCCTGCACCACAACAGTCCCTGTGGGCTGCTGTCTTTATCTAAACTGTTCCTGCAGCACAGGTAAGGAGAACAGTTGGCAACAGCTCTCAGTAAGGACATGGTACTCTCAAGCCCTGTGAAATGATGGAAAATTCAACACCAGAGTAACTTCTTCACTGGTTACTTGCTTTCTATGACTCAGATGGGCTAAGTCCGAGGCATAGGGAGCCAGGCGGATGCAGGTGAGCCAGCTGCCACCTCTCCACGCCACGTTGTCTGGGTCAGCTCTACTGTGTTGAACTCCCCTCAGACATCTCTAAGAGGAAGTCTTCAATGGTACATCCAAATGTTTTTGCCTGCTTTGAGACTACACCAAGCTCAAGTAATTTAGTGGCTACTACAGTAACACAAAATAAAACTGCCCACAACTGACAGGAAGTCAAAAGGTGCTGCTCACAGTAAAAGCTACAAAAATTTACTCTCCTTTTCCTGCTCCAGGGCAAGGATCTCCCTCCCTGCAGACAACCTGAGCAAAGGAAATTGTATGATTTCTTTTGTCCCAAAATATGAATGCGCTCCATGGGGAGGGAGTGGTTCTCACTGCATGAGTCACTGAAAGCTACAAGCCAAATTAGAAATTACCTCTTCTATTCCTCAGATTCATCAGTCCAGACTGACGGAGTGGGATTAGCACTTCTTATCACCATGTAAATAGAGACGGAGAAAAATTAATCCTGGAAGGAAAAGCAAATCCAATTAAATGCAGTTGCAGGCAAGACTCAGCCTAGAGAGCAGCAGTCACTTCAAGCTGAAAAGGTCTACCACCATAGATCAGAAACATGCTCAAGCGTAACTGGTAAAAGCTCAGCAAAGCCTCCAGGAACAGGAGCTGTACCATGTTCTGTGGCTCCTGGCTCTGTGTGCACCACTGCTGCTGCAGAAGCAGCCTGGGAAGGCCAACTTGACCCCTTGTGTCCAAAAAGCCAGGTGGCCCAGAAGGGTGGAGGGTGACAGAGCCCTGGCCCAGGCTGCCCAGAGAGGTTGTGGAGTCTCCTTCTCTGCAGACATTCAAAACCCGCCTGGACGCCTTCCTGTGTAACCTCATCTGGGTGTTCCTGCTCCGGCAGGGGGATTGGACTGGGTGAGCTTTGGAGGTCCCTTCCAATCCCTAACGGTCTGGGATTCTGTGTAATGGCCCTACTAGCCTGGGGCCACTAGGATGGATCAGAGTCCTTCCAAAGTATGAGTCTACCTGGCATGTGTGCTATGAAAACCAACAAGTATGATCCATACTTCATCTATCCAATCTCGCAACCAAAAGCCTCCTTCAAGATGAACACGGTCACCTGAAGTCAGCACAAGCCACAACCACCCACCTGTGGATGGATTTAATGTCCCCATTAAGACTTGTTACTGACAGGACACACACATCTCCTTTTTTTGTGTGATTTAAACAGTTACTAATGAACACCCTGAACTCTTGACTATGCCCACACCACAGGGCCCATCTCCCTGTTTGGCTTCAGATGATCCTCATTCTCAGGAAGGATACGGATGCAACCAGACTGTCCATGACTGACAGCTGTATCTTCAACAACAGCCAAATGCTGGGCTTCCAGATTTAACAAGCTTTAAATGCCCCTGAAGCCACCTCCCTGCTTTGAGTCCAGATCCATGGCTGTTTCTCCTGTTATCATCAGTTCTAGCATCAGCTCAAGGCACTGCAAAAAAACTCTCTGCCACTACCAAGGGTTACACATTTGTAACCACGGTGAACAAGCAAACATACCATGTTCTTGATCATCTGAAGGACTAGCAAGAGCTTGTCCATTTCTCCAACTAGTTAAAACACCTCAAAGGGAAGGAAACACAAGGAGGTGGCTGAAGAACCACTGCAAGAGCCACATGTCAGGCACGCAACCAGCTGGGATGGGATAGGGGCTGACAATGCGGGGCCACTGCTAAACACCAAGAGCAATGCAGATCCCAACCAGCGATGCAGTGAGAATGCTTCGTAGGGGAGGTTTATGTGAGTAATGTGAGACAACGGGCCAAATTCCTGCTCTTTGCCGCTAAATGAAATTATGTCAGTCCGTTTGCTCAAAAAATTGGCTCAGGTAAAGTGTGATACGGTGGCTGCAAATGTAATATGGAAGTTATCTGCAAGAGGCTTGAACCTCAGTTCAGTTCAGTTCGGAACATGAACTTCCAGGGAAAATCTCACACAACTCCTGATACCCTCAGTGAAGCCACGACTGAAAACAACAGCTACGTAACAGGTTTAAACACGATGGATCTGCCATGCTTGTGTTCTCGCAGTCATTGTACGCTGGTCAAGTTACAGCTTTTATCCTAGTTCAAAAGGAGCGTGTGATCTTACTTGTTACCCTACTGAGCTATCACAGAACCGAGGTGCTTATCTTATCTTAGGCACTGCTGCCCATCAGTCAGTGCTGCTTTATCAAAACCACGCAGCTGTTTCTCCTCTAGAATAATGACTCACGCAGAAGTTTTGCTAACTCGTAATGATTTCGGAGATACGTAGGCATAAAGTTCTTTTTAAAGCAAGGCTTGTGAATACACAAACAGATCTGTCACAATTTTTCAGGAAACGTCTTTTCATGGCTTAAGCATGCAAAAATGCAGCCAAACTAAAGGATCCTTCCCCAGCTTGGAGCGCAAAGATTTATGCAGAAACCTTCACACTGCCTTGCCCATAGGTTGAAAACTCCTGACAGCTTTTCTGCCTTGTACGTGTGGTTGCCCTCTGAGCCGGCTTGAACAGCAGTGAGCTGAGGGAAGCTGTTTGGTCACCGAGAGAGACAACATCCCAGCTAATGCTCACCAAGTCTAAATTGGGAAACAAAGGCCACATTTTCCAGTCTTTAGCAGCTGCTATCGCATCCCACTGCTGTATGGCTGATGTGAGCTGCAAGGGGCAGAGGAATGAAGCTTTCCAGGTCATTCCCAGCAGGACATTCCTGACGAACGTGAGAGACATCCTCAGCCAACAGCAGATGTCGAGGCTCTGACAGAATAAACAGCCATAAAAGGATTCACAGGCCCAAACACACAGAGAGGCTTTTTGCATGATGCAGCAGGATGGCGAGCTACAAAAAGTCTTAGCAGAAGACACCTAAGGACAAAACATTCTTAACCGGATTAAGCACTTCAGGACTACATTTAGCTAAGTGCTTTTTGTTTTGCTATGAGCCAGAGCTAAATATAGCAACCAGAATACTTAAGAATAGTTTCATAAGGGTTGTAGACACTCCTCAGCAAGATAAGGCACTTAGCACTACTGACAGCAGTATGTCTGCATGGTAAGAGCATTTTAAATAGCTCCAGATAGAACCTCTTTGACCTTAACTGTATTAACCAGAGGGATCAAACTTTATTTATTGCCTCCCGAAAATCCTTTCCTGCAACACTTGGAGAGAAGGATCCCTGAACTCTATGGGCAGGTAAAGAGAGAGGACAATCATTAGTGCCACCAGCATCGTTTTTCACCCCACTGACAATAAGTGAGGATCAGTTTTCTCTCAAAGAAATGCACATCCATCATTGCTTAATGCCCTCTGTAAAGGGAAAAGAATTTTTCTTCCCTTGCACGTGGAGTCTCAAAAAAATAATCATAGCATTTTAAGGGCAAGTTCTAGCTTAGGCTTTTCAAATATCACAGTATTTGAAGTTGTTTCCAGGGTTACAGAAAGGGTTATGCGGTGTGACAGCCTTAACAAGACAAATGGACTTCTCAGACACACAGCTAATAGTTGAAGCACTGTATCACGCTATCTGCAATATTCTGGCACATATTACTGAGGAGAGAACGTGAGAGAGAATTCGTTTAAAATTCTTTGTTTTGCAGAACTGACTGACTTCAGGAGCTACCTAAAACTGCAAACTTTTGACTACAGAAAATGTTTATTTACTGGCTTGCTGCAAACCATCAAAACATTAACATTACCTTAGAACAACTCTTAACGGAACATCACGTTAGTAGAAATTATCCCCTGAAACCAACAGTTCCTATGAATGCTTCATTATAGCTTTAATTTTAATTATTTGGTTATGACGCTGATGGCAAAGATCACACAGTGAGTATAATGGTGCACATTTCTTGGTGATCAGCAGCAAATAAAGCTTTCTTCAGTCACCTAAAAGGGTGCCTGAACCCAGCCAATTTGACTCCTTTTCCCAACTACATCAA